AAATTGAAAACTATTGATTTGATGACTAATTGATGAGTGAGTGACCAACTCTTGACTTGGTGACAATCTTTATGTTCTTCTGTCAGCCCAAAATATCATTGATAACGTCAGAATTTAAAACCAGATCTCCACATGAAAGTTGTGGGAAATTGTCTCATATTTCTAAGAAAAAAAAAAAGGTCATTTGAACTTCTAGAACTCTAGATATGGGCTGAGCACTGAATAATGTCTGGGCTGCAAGACAGATTCGCTTCTTCGTTATTGCTACAAGTTGGACTTGAAAATGACCTTTTTAAAACCAGACCTCAATATGAAAGTTGTCGGTCTATATTTTACTTTTCCATTCATATAAAATAGATCTAAATCCAAGATCTACAGCTCCAGATATGACCCAATTATATAATAATTTTCTAGTTTGAACTACACCAGCATCTCTTTTCTAAGTTTGACTATCTCTTTATCTTTTCAATTTTAGTACTTAAATCCATCAATCAATCCTTTCATTTATGTGATAGGCTTGTATTTAAGATGAACATTTACCACAAATTAAAAGTATCTTATATTATTAGATATGTTATTATAAAATATGCTTTAGTTAAGGAGTTATTGATACTTCAAATGCAAAATGATGATATAAAACCTTGATAAAAATATACTTTTAAGTACTAATCATCTCTCGTTAATGATATGTAAGGGATATTTATTCCTCTTTAATGCACGTGTTAAGGATATTTTCTCTTGACAATCCTATTAGGGCAAGATACATTTTAGCCCCTCCTCTAACAAGATTTATTGGCTATAAAAACCCCATGAATCATTCAAAAAAGATAAGTTCACTATCTTTATTTTCTATTGCATATATATTTTTAGAGCATCTCTCTAAAATTTTATTATTTTTTTCTTTTTAAAAAGATACTTACTTAAGTATAATTGAGAATCCCCAAATCTATCAAAAAAGATTTCTTGCAGATGCCAGCCACCAACCACTTTGACTTACTGGTTATTAGTCATCTTGGCTAGAAAAAATAAATTAGATTGTTAGAATTAATAAATTAACCAATTATCCAACACATATTTTTTTTTTAAACTACTTGAATTTTTTAGAACCACGTCAATTTGTTTCATACTACTTAAAAACTCTTAATACGAGATCCTTCCTTATTTTATAAAATATTCAAGTTCATGAACTTAATTATGTTTTTTTGACAATAAGATAGGATGCACTATTTCTAAAAAGAGTAGTAATAATTTCATTAATTGGATTTATAAGATTCATTAATGAGATTCACTTATTCATTGAATGAGATATCCGTTCAATACATGATTTTTCTCAACAAAGTGAATTTGAAAATAATATTTAGTCGAAAGTTAACATTATTCAACTTTTATATATATAAAGGATTTATAATAAGGAGCTACCTCCAAGTAGAAAATGGTTTTTTTTTTTTTTAATTTCATGATATATAAATACCCTCTAGTGAATATTAATTACTGTTTTGGTTGGTTACTTAAATTGATACTTAGAATTTGGGTTTTTCTTGCAGCATGACAATCTCTGGATGGGTGTTTATGATCTCAGTTGGATTCAATGCAGCTGCAAGGTGAGTCAAATCAAACAGGCAGTGCTAATTGTTTTTAGAACAACAAACTTTTATAATGGCTTCTCTTGTAAATGAATCAATAAGGTGCATAATTTATAGGTTCTTACCACATCTGTCATTTTATTTGTAAGAAAATGATCTCTTAGCAGAAAGTAGCATTGATCTCTTTTGTTGTCGTTGTTTTTCTCCATTGCATGTGTATGCTATCATTTTTATTATGATCTATTAATTAACCATACAAGCAAAATAATAATTTATTAGAAATCTCACATATGATATGGCCACCCGCATTGCGGTTGAACGTGCATGTAGCGTGAGAGTGAGCAATGAACTGGGAGGTGGAAATCCAAAGTCAGCCGCGTTTTCAGTGGCAGTGGTGACAACAATGTCTTTAATTATCTCAGTGATGGCAGCATTAACGGTGATGGCATTACGGGATGTCATCAGTTATGCTTTCACCGACGGCGAAACTGTGGCTCAAGCAGTATCTGATCTCTGTCCACTTCTAGCCCTAACTCTTGTACTAAATGGAGTTCAGCCTGTTTTATCAGGTACGTGTATGGATATATTACAGCACATCGATCATTTGATTAATGCGAACATACTGAACAATGGAAGCATGAAAATTAATTAAGGTGTGGCTGTTGGATGCGGTTGGCAAGGTTTTGTTGCCTATGTTAACGTTGGTTGTTACTATGTGGTCGGGATCCCATTGGGTTCACTCTTCGGTTTCTACTTCAACTTGGGTGCCAAGGTAACTACCAATTTTATTATTTTTTTCTTTTTATTAATACAAGATGCATTATCTTCTTCTTCTATCCCCACAATAATATATAAGAGGTATCATCAGCTTTTAATTTATATATCAATTGAAACTAATTCATTGAATTTTAATTTTTGACCGTTTTAAAAAGTACACCCTATACATCAATGGTAAATATTTAGAGAAATAATTCAGGATGATTTTTAAAATACACCCTCTACATTAATTAAATATATATATTTAGGAAAACGATACTCATGAATACTGAATTTAAAGTTCAAATTTTAAAAGTTAAGTAACCAAGAGAAGTAGATGAAATTTTTTATAATTTAAAAAATTATATTTTTTTAGAAAGTCAACCATTATTATTGTTGTTGTTGTTTATATATATAATTGATAAATTAATTGGAAATTATAATTAATAGTGATGTATGAAAAATAAAAGTATTTGTTAATATTAAGTTACTGTAATTCTTTATATATAAAAACTAGAAAATTCTACTAATATTGAATAAAAAAAATATTTTAAAAATATCGCGTAAATAAACAAGTACTCCTGTGAATCTTCTTGTTTCAAGGAAGAAATAATATGTGATTGCGCTGTGTGTGCGGGCACAGGGAATATGGTCAGGAATGATTGGTGGCGTAGTATTGCGAACAGTTATTTTGCTATGGGTTACGTGTCGGACGGATTGGAATAAAGAGGTGAGCTGAGCATTTTCGAGGACTTGAAATTCTTTGTTAATTGAAGTGAAGTTGGCGTATATTAATTAATTAATTAATTATATCACTCCTTGCTGAAAGTTTGATGCATATATAAGAAAACTCTATCATATTGCTATAATTTTTTATCACCTTGAGTTGTTTAATTCCTTAATTTATTCATTTTATCAATTATAAAATAAAATAAAATTTACAAACAGATTTTAGGTTAAATATGCAATCAACAATATGGCATGAACTTTCCTTATGAAATGTCCTAGTTTCCAGATTTCTATCATGGCAATTTCTTTATTTCTTCCTTGGAATATATATATATATTAGCTATCTGAATTACCATGCTGCAATGCAGGTTCAGGAGGCTCTGAAAAGGCTGGAAACGTGGGAGGGAAAAAAAGAACCGCTTGTAGAATGAGAAATATTCAAGGTTTAATTATAGCTGATGAGAAGCCATTTAATTAAGCACATGAAGTGTGCAAGAGGAATACTAACCTCTTCTCTTATTGGCACGTCATTAATAATTACTAACTAGGCCACCTCTTGAGCAGCACAGAACCCTCCCGCGGGCGTTGAAATAATATAATATTGCAAACCGATCTTCTTTATAGACACCGGTCCTTGTTTGTGAAGATTATTATAAAACATGCCTTTTCGTTTGCATTCACACAGCCCGCACGGTGCATAGAACAAGAAGATCAATGTTTTATTCTTGGGTGGTTTTGAAGGGATTTTTGTTTTTGCAGGAATGTGATTCTCAAAAAACCAAGGTGATAAGCACTTTAGCGCTTGTTTGCACTGTGACAGTGATTGTTTTTTGAAGTGTCAAAATATTTCAAAATCTCACCATATTTTATACACACTTCCAAAATATTTCAAAATCTCACCATATTTTCACAAACTCTCTATACTGATCAAATGCATTCGAAATCAGGATTTATAGATGCACCTGATAACTCTGCTGCATATACTTCTTGTTAGAAGTTGATATGTTTCCATGCTCAAATCTTACAATACCAAAGTAGCGTAACATGATTTCCACGAGTTAACTATTTTTAAATAAAATAAATGTTACTATTTAACTATTCCTCAGCACATCACAATCTTGGGATGTAGAATAGCATATGAATAGCTTGAGCAACAAGTAATAAAAGGACTCAATTTCTTTCAGAAGTAGAGGGCCTCACACGTCATGACTCAGAAGTCCCATGGCCCAAGCCTCAATTGGGAATATGGAAATGGAATGACAACAAGCGACCATCGAATAGAGTTAGAGAGCGAAGGGGAAAAAAAATGGGGGTGGGGAATTACACTGCTTGCCAATTTAATGAGTTACTGTCAGTATAATACATCCCACATTGTTGATGCATACGAAGAAGCAAAAACCCTGAGACAAAATATAATTAAAGAAATACATTCATCACTTCTTCTTCCCTGCTTTCCCCTCCTTTAATCTTATAATTTCATTGGCATACCTCACACCCTTACCTTTATATGGTTCAGGGGGTCTCCATCTCCTAATTGAAGCAGCAAACTCACCAATGGAGCATTTGTCAAATCCACTGACAACAATCCTGGTGTTCTCTTCCACCTTCACTTGTAGCGTAGCAGGGATTGCCATCCTAACTGGATGAGAGAATCCCAGACTTAATACCAAGTCTTTTCCTTCTACATTTGCACGATAACCAACACCAACTAGTTGAAGTCTCTTCTCAAAACCCTTGGATACTCCCACCAACATGTTGTCCGTGAGAGTTCTGTGTGTATCAAATATCATAAGGGTTCAAACATTAGAAAAGAATAATTTAGCAAACGTTTTCCAAGGCAGGTATCAATATTTCTGTATATAGATTTTCCTGTCCTGGACGTTCACATCAGAATAAAAGATCTTTGAAAGACAAAATCCTGGACGTTCACATCAGAATAAAAGATCCAGAGAAAATTTGAAAGACAAACTGCCGCAAAGATAGACACTTTGGTTAGTACATTAAACAACCACCACTGTTTTTTTCTTGTACAAATCATGCAGCTCTAAACTCAAAAGGGCAGTATCAATGGTCAGACATGGACAAAATTGATTTGAATTCACTTCCAAAATTCATCTAATTCCGCATCTAAGGTTGAAACTATTACATTATTGTTCACTGTTACTTTTTACACCAGTGTTTAGAATCATGTGTTAAAGCATCTAAGTGAATATACTCGATCATGTATTACTTCATAGGACATGCCTGACATGTCTTGAAAAGAGGGGTTGTCAATACACAATCTATAAATTCAGCAATTCATATCCAAAATTGTAGAAATTCTTTAACTGTGTACAGTCACATTAGTGTGGGTGATTTTGATTGAATTCTAATATAGCAAGTATAATCTTCCACAGACAGAGCTTCAGGAGCATCAGAATCAGGTCAACAGTCTCAAGTGAGGTATAGGTTTTAACAGTTTCATCATTATTTAAAAGACACAATTGGCTTGTAAACTACAATTTAGGAAGATGATACAGAGTATAAACCCTCTTTTAGCCCCTAGTTTTGTCAACATCACATGCTAGGACTGGTTCAAAACCAGATTGAAGCAGTTCACATCTTCCTTATACAACTTCAAAAGGTCCAAGAATAAAGCAATTGAAAATGAAATAACTAGTTGGTGTAATTGAAATCACAAGTGCAATAATGCTAAAACAAGGAAGTAATGGGCAATCAAAATAATAGAGCCAAATGATGGAGGGCTTACCTGAAAAGACCATGCATTTGGTTCGCTCTTCTAGTTTCTAGTGCCTTTTTCACACGAATGATTCCATCTTCATCCCTCTCAAGCTTCACTTCTCGTGGATAAGTCCTTGAAAGTTCCCCCAACGGACCCTTTACCTTTAAATCCTGACCTTCCAATGTGATTGTCACATTGGATGGAACTTGAATTGGTTGCTTCCCTATCCGTGACTCCTTACATTCAATAGCCTTTCTCAAAAAACCAAAGCGAGTTACAGGAACACTAGGTACACAAATTCCGTTTCTTTCACCCAAGAATACAGATCTCAAATTGCTGAAACCCCAAAAGAAGAGAAAAATTCAGAATACTTTCACAATTTTCACTCCTAGCTAATCATTTTGCATAATCAGACTTCTATTGCTTTCATTCATGTACATAACAAACAGTCTTTCTGAGACACGACCATATCTTAATATTGCCCAATAACTACGCGAACTTTGCTTCTTCTCTTAGCCATCTTAGCCATTTCAAAGTTACGATACAAAAGGTATGCACCTAGCGGCCACATCATTAATCCAAATTGATTACGGTGCACTTTCTTATTCTCATGCCAGTTCTTTTAATACAAATTTATAATCCTAACAGCATAAGAAAGCGAAACCAGCGGCAAAATTTCTCAAACAAGGTTCATTTGTTCTATACAATTCCATTATTTATTAAAACAGCCATATTACATTTTTATTGAAGACGGTCTAAAGCATTTGTATAACATAGCAAAACCACCAATCAACAAAACCAACCTAGATACTTCAGCAGATAGCCCATTTTATCCCACAAGTTTCAACACCCGAAAAGTTATTATCTTTGAGAATGCATTGGATTTGTAACTACCAACAATGCAGATTACAATGCAATGACTGCTCACTGCTCTTTCTAATCTATAAACCACTAATTTTACTGCCCATTTTTGATGTATTGCACAAAACCCAATTAACGAAAATGTCCAGTTACAACCTCAGAAGTATTTTCATACTTTGGTCATGCACCTTCAAAGCATTGACAGGTTTGCAGATAACAACCTAATTGACTCAAGGACTTGACAGCACGCAATAAGACACAAAGTCCAAACACAACAAGCTTCCAAACAAGCAAAACCGTGTTATAAATTCTAGGTTTTTTTTATCCCAACCAAACCATTTGTTCAGAAAAAAGAAAATCTTAAATTCTCCAAAAAAATCGCCACCATTTTTGTTACCAAGAACTACCGAAGACACAAAAAAGTAATGTGCAGAAAAGCCTTTAATAACGTAAGATAGTTGAACAAGGTAAAAAAGGGTTAGTGTTATTGACCTGGTCTGAAAAGAAGAAGTGATTGAAGAAGCCATTGTCAATAGCTCTCCAGCATCAGTGAGCAACTGTTTTGATAAGAGAAGGGATAAAAGGGCCTATCCAAAACGACTGTTTATCCAGCTATTGTGTAGAATGTCGAAACTACCCTGCCTACAGAGGTTGAAATCTGTGGTTATTTTCCCCTATGTTTCTTGTCCGGACATTTATACCCCTGTCCTAGTGCTTGGGCCTTGGCTCTGGCTGCCTGGGCTGGAGCTATAATTTATTTGCATGATTGATCCTATATTTCCTCAATTTAATTAAACCCATCACTTTGCTTCCTCTTGTCAATGTAATTGTTAATGTTATCTGTTACATTACATTATATTTATAATTATATTATAAGAAACAGTAAAACGTGTCATCTTTTTAGCAGTAAAAATAATTGTTCATGCACTGTTTTTCTCCTCACAATTCACTATGTATTATAGCAATGCATTTTTTTTCAATTAAACTTTTTATTTTATTTTATACTTCTGTGTTAGTTTTGTGTAGTTTTTCAGTGTTTTTTTTTTAATTCTTTACATTTACTTGAGATATGAAGGTTTTTTTTTTATAAGATGAATCAATTTAATGACATATATTTAGATTTATAACATTAAGATAGAATTAAAAAAAAATAAGTACTAAAATTAGAAACCAAAAAATTAGGTTGTCCATCTCAAATTTGCTTAGAAAAGTTATAATTAGTCGTTATATTTTTCTTTTTAGAATTTTTATTTTAATTCAAATTTTTTTTTATTTTTTTTAATTTATAAATTTAAAAGAGGAAAGAGAAACTTGATGAGAAACAACCAAAAAAAAAGAAGAAACAATTATTAGTTTGTCACATTTTGGTAATATAAAAATTTATTTTTGATGCTAACGAGTTCATGTAATAAGAAAATTTTTATTAAAGTGTTTTTTACTTTTATGTAGCTGAAAAAATATATTAAGATTAAAATATTTAATTTAATTTTTCATTTGCGAACCAATTTAGGTTTGTTTTGAGTTGAAATATTTGTTTATTAAAACTATAAGAGTATTTATTAGGTTTTTTTAGTGAAAATATAATGAAAAATAATTTTTTAAATCCAAAAAATCTTTTGTGGATTTGTGGTTTGTTTGACCATTTTTCCAAACTAAGCATTTAGATATAAGCTGTCTATTGCAATAAAATATGCGTTATTTATTATTATTATTATTATTATTATTATTATTATTATTATTATTATAAAAAGGAGGTGTTGTGAGCCTTTTATAGTCTAAGTAAAATATATTATTGAACTTATGTTGTGAGCCTTTTATAGTCTAAGTAAAAATTTACTTTGATTTTCAATATATTATTGAACTTATTTTTTGAAAAATTTTTTTTTTATAAAATAAAATTAATATTTCATAACAAATATATATATAACCACATTTCTTTTTTAAAGTAGTTTTAGTATTTAAAATCAACTAGTTTTTTATTAAAAACAATTATGAGATTTTGACAGAATTCCCTTTATATCTAAAACATTCAAAGTTATTGACAATTATTTCTAAAATAATTTCTCAATTATTGACCAATCATCCATGATAATTTCT